AATATCCAGTGCAGTAAATGGTTTTACATTTGATAATGCAGTAAAAGCATTAAAAATTGATAAAGTACATCTAACCCTGTATTTTTCAGTGAATGAGTATTGATTTGACCACACAAAAACTGATTCTCCTACTTTTTTGTGAATGCTTTTTATTAATCCAATATAGAATTCTGAATGTATGCACAAGTATAGAACTTGGTGTAGAAAAAAAAAATCAAAAAAATCAACCAGGTAAATGGGAGGCACTGGACATTTGTGTGTGAGGCAAACAATTAATAATAAAGTTCAAATTCAGTAAAACTCTTAATTCCATTTAATGACATCTATACTTTGCATAATACCTCAGGATTTTCTTGAGTCAGACTGAATTCAATGGGATTAGATATTAAGCTCTAGTGTCTTGCTGATTCAGAAGTTTTAACGCAAAGATAAATATTTAATGTAATTTAACAATTTTCTTAATAAGCACAAGCAAAAGAAAAACTACTAACTGTAGAAATCAGATTTTGAAGTGAGGAGCAGATTTGCAAGACCTGCCATGGGTTTCACCCACAATAACATCATTAAAATTTGCAATAACGTAAGATCATTTAGGAAGGATTTCAGCCTTTAGCATTGTGTACTAGTAAAACATTTATCCTTACAAACAAGCTATTTGCAGTCCCATTCCAGCCCATTTTTCCTTTGATAGAAGCAGCAATCACTGCAGAATGGAAGATGAGCTACACTCATGACTACTTGCTTGTATTCCAGCACCGGTAAAACAAACCATTAGGATCAAAGCACCAGCCATTTTAATAAACTGTATGCACTGTTGTTATTGTGACTTATGGCTTTGCTCTGCACAGAGGGAAGATGTAAACAGCACATTTTTTACTGAATGGCTCTGTATTAATACTCTAAAAAAGTATATTTAATACCTCTGTTATATGCGTACTTATAAATTAATATACACACTGGAGTAGAACTCTAGTTTTATATACGAAGAAGTAGTTCAGGTCCCGACTTGCAGTCAGGACATGGTCAGAGATTATACTGGGACAAAGGGGAAAGCAAATGTTCCCTGATTCCCCAGTTTTGCCACAGGCTTCTCTGGCTTCCAAAATGGTGTTGTTGCTCCATGCCAAGCAGGGTGCAGTTTTATGATACAAATTGAAAAGCTTTGGGGAAGAGCTGACATGCAGAACAAGACACATTCAAAATTATTATATAACTTAAGAGAGCTTCATGGCTTTTATAAGCTTTTAGTTGCAGATCCTTTATTTCAACTGTTGAATAAGTTTGCCTTTCCTCATATCTGGGTATTCAACCAGCAAAGAAACCTGCTACCTACCCTTTGAAAACAGCATTCTCTTGAAGGGGGCTCCACCAGGCTCCAAAACAAATAGGGGGACAAAACCATTGTTCAGCCAGAGTTGTTGAAGGTTAGAAGCCCTAAGCCAGCACAGAGAGTTGGGCTTATCCCCATCTGCTTTATGACAACTTGCTAACTCATTGTGCAAAACATGTCGAGGGAATATATGCATATATAGTAGTGATCAACTGATTTTTCAGGATCCTGGCTAGGTTGGTATTGCTGGTCATCAGAAACAATTTTATTTTACTTCTGATACAGAGAACTCAATACAGAAATTACTGAGGTAAAAAATTAAACATGAAATGATACAGAAGCAGATATTTTAATATTAAGCACTTCAGTGCCTAATGATTTTTCACATTTTTCACCCGTTTCTCTGTTAAAAAAGGTGGAGTAGACTTGCACAATTTCAAGCTAAAATTATACCAGTGATAAAACTTTTATATTAAAAGAAAGCTTCTGAAAATATTTAACAGAAATACGTATTTATCGCTTATTACTTCATGAGGTTCTTTTTAAACATTCATGAGTCATTAATCTTAAAATAAATTCCTCTCCATGAAGCTGTCTGATTATTTTTAAGCTTTTGTTTTCCCCTTTCCAGTTTTTCCAACTACATTTCAGAATCTAATTCCTTAAAACTAATGAATGTTTCTCCTTCCTTTATGATCCACTGCTGCTGTTGCTTAGCCACTGGTTATATCACCTACATACTCTATCTTCTCTCATATGAAGAACGTTGTTATAGCCTGAAACAATTCTACCATATAGATAAAGTATTAAGTATTTTGTGCAGGTGAATAGCTCTTCCATTTCCCTTATCATTATCAGATTGGCCTATTCCTACAGGACTGCAGCAATTCTACAATCAGGATAATAATCAGTGTCTCTCTCATTCTCTGAATATTGCTGATAAAAGAATGAATCTTACTCTTTCACGCTTAACTATGCAAAACGGCGTTACTCATTTAACTCTTTCAGCAATCTCTGAACCCTACAGATAAAAGTGCTTTTGGACAAGCAGGGTTTATTCCACTCGTACCTAGGGATGTGAGGCAACACTTAATTTGGAGCATTAATTGCTTACAGATGAATTATGTTAGGCTGATATGTACAGAAACGTAGATTATAAGATTCGGCTTGATTGATCGAACTATCTAGAGTTTATAAAAGAAAATTTTGCATTTTCAGTGTAGTCTCTCTATGTATTACTTGCCAATCCAATTCTTCCCAAAATACAAATAAATTTGTATGTTTCTAATGAAAGAAGTATTTTAAATAATAACCATACGGGTTTGTGGGGTTTTTTTACAATTTAAAAAAGCAGTCTACTTATATAAGTAGCAAAAGTACTTAGAATTCTACAGCTCTGCTACTGGAATGCAAAAAGTATTGCAAACAACAGATTTTACTTTAATCATTTATTCTTTAATTTGATGCAAATACATTAATCCTGAGAGTGAGTTAAAACCGCTCTATTTTTCTTGGTTTGGATTGAAATCAGCCGGTTTTGTCTATTTAAGATAATTGATGGGTACAAACTATAAAACTTCACATAAGAGCACTGCCTTTGTGTGATCTCATATTCTAATCTTAGTAAACGCACGACTCCAAGTAAATTATGACACTCTGGCTCTAAACAGCCCTTAGGTTCAGCAAGTCTGTTTCTTTTTACCTCTAGCTTGTCTTAATCTGGAAACAGATGCCCTGCTCCATTATCTGAAGCCCAATTGGACTTACTGGAGCAGTTATGGATCTGCGCTGCATTTCAGATTTTTACTGAATTTATGGGGTTTTTTTTAAGTGCATATATTATAGAAGATTTGCTTTGTATTTGCTTATATTGCTTAAATATGGTTGTATTTACTCAGACATACAAAGGCTGCAACTCAACACAAAAAAGGTCTATAAAGAACCCTCATTTTCTGTGTGAAGGTTTGCTCCCCTAATTTCTTTCTTCTTCTGAAAAATTCAAAGTTCTCTTTTCCAATTTACTGGATTCAAAATGTGCAAGTATAAAAGAAAAGGTCCTCACTTGACATTTTTATCAGAAAGCACTGACCATGTTGAATCAACTTGTCCATGGGAATATATTGATAGTGTCGCAACTTGAGAACATGCACATATCAAACACATGACCAAGAGGTGACATCTTCATGGGAAAACAACTGGCTTTTGTTCAGTCCTAGTTCATAGCTCACACACCCTCAGTTGTGCTGATTAGCATCAATAGGCATTTTCTGCAGCACAATAGAACAGAATGATGCTGATGATTCCATTTAAAAAATAACTGGCTATTTTTTTGGTACTGATTGAAATACACCTATTGAGAGAAAAATACTGATTTGAAGTTAATATTTCTGTATAGAAGGGTATATGCCACTTAACTATTTAATTTTCTAAAAATATACAACTTAAGTGATAAAATCAAAAATTCTGTGTGTATAAACCAGCCCTTTTTACTCCTTTCCCTATTTTTTGAAGTTTACTAATAGTCTGACTTATTGCTAATAATTATTAAATTACTGCATAATCACTGGGGAATTCTCAGCTCACTTACAATAAAATATTAGTTTTCTCTGACTCATTGACTAAATCTGACCATCAAATTCTTACAGAACTCATATGAGAAGCGTATTTTTGTCATTCTTTGAGAAGACATTTCATTACCATGCAAATGCAAGTGCCTCTGAGCAGGCTAGTTGGTATATGCAACATGTAACATGCAAAACATAGTCTGATGTCACTCCACAATTTATACAGAAAATATAACTCAAATTTGACTGGAAATACCATTGTTTTCTTGAGATCTGACATTTACATATGGCAAAGTGGTGGGTGGACACCTATCATATGTGCAAATATTAGAAAGAACAGCTGTGTAAGATACTGTGTCTCACCACCAGAGAAAGAACATTTAAAGGAAATGCACTTGGTAATTAAATTGCACTTGGTAATTTAATAAATTAAATAATGGGCAATTAATTTGATAGAAGCAGGCAGCCTATTTGAAAGCAATAGAAATACATCATGTAATCAAAGCATATTTGGTCCAATTACTTGCATTTGTTTATTTATTTAAAGGCATGTTGTGTACCCACACTACCCTTCAACATTTATTTCAGAAGGGAGTGCAATTTTCAATAGACCAGGAGAACACTGAAAAAAAAGACCATGGGCTTACTTCTAATAATAGACATCATCAATAAGCAGTTTAGGTGACTACAAATTCAGTTTCAAAGACAATGTCTCAGGAACACTCTTCAGTAGAATGGGACACAGACTCCTGAGTGCATCAGAAAGGATGCTGCCAGCATCTGCAAAACTGGCTCCAAGTTGTTAATCTTGAACACATGAAAAATCCACTCTAACATGCAACTTTAACATGAGAACACAAACCTGAAACTTAACACACACAAATCAGCCAAACAGTCAAGAACTGTGCCTTTCTTTATCATGAAACTAATCTAAACCCAGTGTCACTCTCAAAAGCAGGTTAAGGCAGGCTTATCTTTCTGATGTGCAGTCATTCCTTGTAAATGCCTAAACACGGAGCCTCTGCAGCCAGCCACAGGCAGTCATTAATTTCACACTGTGAAAACACTTTCTAAAGACAACTCTGTAATCAAACGTGGTTATTTACCTGTCATAGTCTTGGCAAATCTCCCCAACAGCTACCAAAGCTTTCAGGTACTCATTGGGCTGGTAGGGGTGGATGTAGTGCAGCGAGCAGCTGTTCCTTGGATCGCCGTTCGATGCAGTGAAATCTATAGCTACCTGGAAAAGACGAGAAGTCAATGTCTGGCAGAGCTCTTCTGAGCATAAAAACACCTACATCAACTATATATCTTTACCAGAAATAATCTGCTGCAGCAAAGAGACAGCAGCCTCTCAGCAAAGGTCATTTTACAGTGTACTTAATGAAATTGGAATTAGGATTGTACTGGTAAATATATGTAGAAACAAATTACAGTTTATAAAATAAGAGATAATAAAACTAAAATGGCATAATTAGATAAAAAATTACCTGCATTGCTATTCTATGGGGAAGATTATGTTCTAATAAAAATGAATCAAATTAACTATCCCTAGGTTTTCATATTTAATTAAATTATTCCAGCTCAGGTGATGTTCAGGACATAAAAGCTTTGCAGCAAGAATATCCATAGAGAGTTACAAGTCCTACTAAAACTATAAATTAGAACTCCAATTAGGGACATTTCTTAGCTATTTTAATCCTTACTGTGGCTGTAGTAGTGGATATTGCTTGTCTGGTATTTTTTTCTCTTCAAAACATCCAAGCAATAAATAATTAACCCTCCCAATTTCACAGTTGATAGCAAGATTAAACATGAGCTGCAGGGTAAAAAATAAAACTTGAATCCTGCAAAGATTTTGTTGTTGCTGTTGTTTCTGAAAAAAACCTTAGAGAAGAGTGTGGGAAGTAGTCAATGCAAAAGCAAGTATTAATAAATCATGCTAAAATTAATTTCTCCCTTTTAAAATGTTCTTTAAATTTCTTCTCACTGAAGGTAGGCTCTGGCATGCATCTTCCTTTGTTATGGATCAGAAAGTCCTCTGCTGAATTTGTGATGCTGCTTTATAGGAATTCCTAAAAGAAGCAACAAGAATCCCAAGGGTCTTACAGAGGGAACAAAGCCATTTATAAAATGTCCTTGTTTCCAATAACCTATTCCTCTAAAAAACCCATTACATCTGAATATTCAATAGACAAATGCAGCAAGTTCAGATTTCAGTTTTACAGTGTAGCTGAAGGGTAAGAAAGGGTCCCTCTAACGGCTGCAAAAAGAACTTTGAAGGCACAGCTTGCTCTTGCAAATGTTCAGCTTCCTCAGCTGCAGCCTCTGCTTGGCACAGGGAACACTACTTTATGCAGCTTCAAAATGAAAATGAAACATGACATTTTCATGCTTCCTTAAAAATTTTACACAGCCCTTCTGAAACTTATTTTTGTTGCTAAAAAGTGAAAGGGAAATATCATACTAGGTCAACCCAACGTGGTTTTCCTCCACTGGTTCTGATTTTCCACCTCTATATTTTAGCTGCACAAACCAGCCTCTAGTAGGCTTGGAAATCCCTTCTTCGCCTTGATCATCTATGAACCCCTGGCACCTCACCACCACCATCCAGTCAGGAGAGAGATGAGTTTTTTGGCTTGCAAATACGAGTAATCTTTCACCTCTGCTTCCTACTCACTGTTCAGGCACCAAAGCACTGAGCTTGTTTTCCTCACAGTTCTTTTTCCAAAAATGGTATCTGGATTTAACTTGAATAAATCAATGGAGAACCTCTCATGACTTCACTTTTAAGGGCACATAACTGAGGAACACTACACATATTTAAGCAAGGGAGAAAGCAACACTAGTGGTTTGTGAAACCCAAGATAAATCCATGAATGCTTGTATGGACTAGTTTAGTTTTGGGAAATTTATTTGTAGAAAATCTTATTCAAGGTATGCATATTTGTTTAAAAGTAAGTATATTTTCTCTGATATTAATTCAACCTTAATTTGATAATAGAAGGTGCAAAAATGCTACTGTATGATAGGAAAACAAAGGGGTTTCCTGTAAAATTGTTAAAAGTAGGTGTTTTTACTGACAATCTCAAAATACTAAAACACATTAATAGGACTTTAGTGACACATCAAACAGAACTGGACAAGCCTTCCAAAGCTAACTGCTTTGGAAATGAAATCAAGAACACAGAGTAGGAATAAGGAGTGGGTTTCATGAACTTGGAAAAAAGCCTGTGACTAGTGTTTGGGAAAGCAAAAGAAAAGAACTTCCTGTAACCAGCTTCCTTTTTGGAAATGGTCCTTACAGTAGAGGTCTGCTGATAAATAAAAAAGTATCCTAATTTCCTATGATGAAGAATTTATGAATATTTCTGCTTGGATGCAGTGTGCTTGAATTTTATGCAAATCTCTGTTTGACTCCCACAGGGAGGGCTTATAAGAAAGATGACCGCTGTAAATTGCCACGATTCCAAAATAACAATGCAGAGCTCTGCTCCTTTAGCATAACCCAACAGGACCAAGGCCTTGTGCAAATACACTGGATAAGGATTTGTAAAAATAAGTTAATATATGACAGAAGTTATGTTAATATCACAGCTGAGCTTATCTTTTGGGCAGTAAAGTAGGAATCTTTCTCATAGTGCGTACACTTGATTTTTATCAGTGTATCTTCAACTGTATCAGCTCCAGTGTAGCAGCCATCTTCCCTCAGCTAAATAAGAGCATAGCAGAGCAATAACTACACTCAGTACCAGCTTCTTTTTTTTTGCTCAGACTTGTAAAAGGGTGATTTTCACCACACTCAAAACATCCTACATAGCTGGGACCTCCTGCTAGATCTGTCAGCAGCAAATCAGGCTGCCCAATACTGTGACCTGCCTGAGAGAGCATCTGTCCAATATATCTTCCTATTACAGTTCCTTTTATACATGTTACACATCCTTTCTGCTGTATTTCCTAAAGTGATGAAAATGTCTTCAGACTACAGACCCATTTGCACTGCCAACCTCTGAACATTTCTTCTGCAGCAGGGAACACTGTCTGATAAGAGATACAGTGTTTGGCAATAAACTGGGCATAAAAATAGCGAGCTGGAATCAGCACCATTGATCTCTATAGATGAAAGCTTCTTAATAACTGGTTTTAAAGCGAAGGAAAAGTTTACTTTCATTTTTCAGAGACATTCCTTCGAACTACAAACTATGTTTCTACAATCAAGGTACAAAGTATCCCAAGAACACACAGCACGATGTTACCAAGGCTTTCATTAGTGCTTTAAATTACCAGGTACATCATATTACAGCTTTTTGTTATCAAATGTGCGTGTAGCATCCCAGTTTCCCTCCCTCAGCAAGTGCCCTTTCAAACCACAGTTGTATCATACTGCCTGTACACAGCATGAGCTCAACAGAAATGACATTAATATTAGGACAATGACAACAACAATACACATATCAGGAGTTTCAAAGTATCACAAATCCACTATAGTTAAAAAAAAAGGATATCTGAGAAAGCCCAAGGAATAAGCCTCCTCTGTTTCAGGGGTCTGAATTAATCAGATTAGGACTATGTGAAGAGATTATACAATGCATGCAGAAAGCAAGGGAGAATGGAATATCTCCCCAGTAGGCTGCACCCATTTGTTTCAGAGACTACTGCAGAATTCATTTTGGGAAACAACACCACATCTCACAACCAGCCTGTGCTGAGGACTGCTGGAAGAAGAGTGAAGGAAAACATGTGGAAAGCTGGTTTGTCACGATGTTTATAGGCAGAACCACTAGGTTATGCACAGAGACAGCTATAGGTACAGAGATGTCACAATGGCTTACCCTGGGTCAGTGAAGGTTGAAAATTGATAGTGATAAGCCTACACAATACTGTGGATTTACCATTAAGGGCAACAGTAATTCAGGGATCTCTGTGGCTGACAGTATAATGAATCTTTCATTTCCTTTATGTCCTCACTGCCCATCCTTGAAGATTAGCTTGCTTAAGCTTTCTACTACCAACTGTTTTGTTTCACTTTAGTAAAATAAAATACATTAAAATACAGTAGAAGCCACTATCCATTTTAACCCATTTTCCCTACCACTTTTAAACTTGTGTTTTGCAGCCTGCTAACTGGAAACCTGTGACAAGTAAACAAAAGGCAAGAAAATTGCCATAACCCTTCCTTGCACTAAGAACTTGCTCTTCCATTGAAAAACAGTTCTGAAGAATTGGAGTTTGAAAAGCTGTAACTTAATATGTAAATCCCTAGATACTTTCTAATGGCAGCAGTGCTCCTGTTCTTGAGCTGGAGTTGTGGGAAATACGTATTAACTGGTCTTTCCATGTGCCTAACCACATGCCCTAATTAAAAAAGGCTTTCAAATATAACACGAAGGCATTAATGTCTTTCTGATGATGACCTTGAATACATTTGATAATTGAGTTCTTCCAGTCATATTTTAGGGAGGAAATGTCAGTAAAGATAAATTAAAGGGGTTTCCAGTGACTGCCAAGTTTCAGACGTGAAGGAGAAATGTGTGTCGCTCTATTAGGAACGGCTGGGATTGAGCGACACAGACTCTCTAAGGAGTCGGTTAGGAGAATGTCTCATAGTTTATTACTTCAGGTCGATTTTATAGACTGATATGTGGAAAGTACAGAAAGGAAACTCTTATTGGTTAGCAAACCACTACATTATCATCATTGGTCAGTGGGGCACACCCCCCCCCCCCGCCCTTCTGCAAAGAAAACATGAGACAGAGAAACAACACCTGTAAGGCTGTTTTCTGTCTTTGAGGATTGTTTTGAATCCTCCCATGAATTTCCCAGGCCAGCTTCTCAGGCAAGACTGAGAAGCTATGTGGCCTGTAATTTCTACAGGCTCTCTGTTTCAGAGTTAGCATCCACAAATGTGCATTGCTAGTACATGAGGATAAAAGATGTAGTAGCCAGGTAAGGAAGAGAGGTAATTACACAATATGCTTTATACAAGAGAATACAATTATAAAGATCTTAGTCCACTGCAGAAGGTACTGCCTTCAAAACCAAAACAGAGCCCTCAGTTCTGGGTGTTATCCGATGAGTTTGTGATGAGTACAGGCAAAGTCCATGTTTAACACTTGAAAAAAGCTGATCTGTACACGAGAAGACAATTCACTATTGTCTATAGCTGCTGCTGGAACTTTCTGGTACAATAAAAAAATCTTTCTTTTTTTGTCAAATCCTTTTGGAAAATGAAGGCTTGTCTGGAAAATGTGAAACGGAACATGTGAGTAGCATCTGGTGTCTGAGACTTTATACGTGGGAGCAGAAATAGGGCAGGATCCTACAGGAAAAGAAAATATCTCCAGAAGAAGACTATTACCTTTGTGCATTAGATTTTAGCCCTTTAGCTGGCATAAATTAGAAATCACATAAACCAGATTGGAACTGAGCCACAATCCATATTCCTATACTACAGGAAAAAACTGATACATCATATTAGATTATATTAAGTATATTAATTTTTAGATACATGCTACAAAAAAACAGATCAAACCCACACATTAAATGTTTCTTAATTTATTAACTGGAATCACAAAAAACTGGTTTTTTGTTTATGAAGAGCCCCACAAATCCTTTTACACCCTGTTTCTTGAACTGAATAGCTCCTGAGTGCACTCTAAATTAGAGCTGTGTCCCCCTGTAGTGCCATCTTACTTGCTAGCTATGGCAGAGATATGAAACACCAGCATTTACCCCAGGCTGACAGAGAAAAGCCGCTGGCTGGATCTCTCTGTGACTTTCAATACGGCACCGTTTCAGGGAAAACAACTTGCTTTATTTAACAGAGGATTCATTCTGGAAAGGAAGACTGGCCCTTAATACATTTTGCAAGAAGAATTTAATAATTTACCAAGGAATGGCATGTAAGAGTCATTTCTCTGAAAGTAATGAATTGGTATCTAAGGGGATTCCCTTTCTTCAAAACAAGTTAGAGAAGTAAGACACTTACTGTAAACTGTATTTGGCAGCCTCCCATGATATAATCTAAGAAAGAATGCATCTTGTGTATCTGCAGACAAGAAAGAAAGACATTCAACTTAGCTGTGTACTGATAAAACATAAGAGAACTGCTGGAAAAAAAAATAAAATGGAAGGAGGAGAGGGACCAACTGAAAAATAAGGTAAAGGAAGAATTATCAAATAAGTTTGAGACAGAAACAAAACCATAAACAGAAAAAAATAATCAAAATTCTAAACCTACAGAAAGGAAAATTCACATAAAAAGTAGAACCAACTTCTCAGTGGGAAGTCAGAGGAAATTTTGCTGTTGGTTTAGGAAGAACAAGAGCAATTTTGTAAAAATAACAGAAGTATTAAAAAGGATACACACAAAGTTGGCGAATCTTTAGGTGACAGAGTTTAGTATTGTTTTTTCCATTGTACAAGAGCAGGAATAGGGCAAGAGAAATGAAACAAGAGTCGAGGAAGTCAACTTACTTTTGAGATTCAAGTCCTTGTCTTTACTTTTTGTAGGGATAGTTTCCATTGCTATTCTACATGCAGTTCCACTTTGTTTCAAGCACCATTAAAATATATCACTGAGAGCTTAGTAAAGAAAGAGTCAAAGAGCAAAATATACATTTACCTTGCACTGGTTAAGGATGACAATGCCTGAGTTCTTGTAGTTCTTCTTCTTTGCTTTGTACTTGGGGTTAATGCATTCCCATTGTACCTGTGAAAAAAATAGCAGTCACTCTCTGCAGGAAAAGTTTATGTACAGATTGAATAATTAACAAAAACTGCACTGCCCAATTTCCACAGTTCACTAAATCATAACAGATAATGGTGCACAGAGAGGAAAGAAAATGAAAACTGTTAACTATGCAGAGAATAGTTAATAGAAAAAGGCCCAGGGCAAACATCAGTCTTTGAACATATACACGTGAACATGGCACTGAGGGAGACATCCAGATTCATTTGTTGCCATCTTCCAGTCTTGTAGTTTCAGGTGTTACATAAGCAAGATAGAAGATCTTTTGAGATCATTTAAGAGGAAAGAAGGAACTTAATAAATATCAAAATGCTGGCGAGAGCAACCTGATGCACTGTATTAACTAGAAAACTATTGTCACAGTAACACTGAGTTTTGTATTAAAGTCATGATTAGAAAAATTCTGGCCAACAATCATCTCACTTTCTCCTTTAAGTCTGATAGCAAAATAAAAAGTTAAGGAAATCAGTAACGTGTTCACAAAGATGCAGCTAACTAATGATACACCTGAAATTTATCCCTAAGAATATATTAAAATCCCTTTTTGAGTTTTTTTTTTTATAGTTTTATTTAAAAATAGTTAATTTTACAGAAAAAACAGTCATACCTTGCTATTGAATTACATCTCCTTGTTCTCATCATAACATCTCCCAGGTTATTAGTAATTCCACTTGAAATGTTCTGCCTTCCTCTGGTTTCAGGCAGAGTGATAAGGCCAAGTTTTCAGACCCTCACCTCTAATGTTCACAGTATTATTCATGGCTTTTACTGCAGGACTACAATGTACATTTGTAGATGTAGGTGTCTGGTGGCATTTGTATATACAGATTTTTATCTGTAATATGCTGTTAATGTGGTTAACAACATTACTATTTCCTTTCAGGGAGCTGTTTTCAAGCGTGGAGACAAAACATGTGATGCTGGGTCACAGAAAGAAATACAATTCCAAAATGAACCAGGATGTTCCATTATCTAAAAATCTCTTTTATGACATATTGAAATGAAACATGTCTTAAGTGTTACAGTGTTTTGCCTACAATGGAAACCTGCCTAAGTATTACAATACTTTGTCTACAGTGAGGTACATATGTGATATATCTTAGCAAAGTGTTTGAGCACCAAAAACTATTTTTACTTTATGCTCAGACCCAGAAATTTCATCGAGCTTCAAACCACTGTCTAACAGCAATTATTTGAATGTCTCTGAAGTAGTCCAGGCTTAGAGATTTTGTCAAACATCAAAAAAGGAAGGCAAACCATATAACTTTGGAGCAATATGAGACCATTTTTGCACAGGGAAGGAGGGGTATCTTCATCACTATGAAATGGAGACAGGTGACAGAGTGAAGAATAGGAAAAGACAAAAACACTGCTCCAACCGCAGGAAGAACATCTGCTTCCCCTCCCAGCTAGCCTTCAGCTCAGTTATTTGTCTTGTGAAATAAATTTTCCAACTGAGAAGACAGGCAGATACAGGCCCTCATGTTCAGGGGAAATCCTCTGTAAACGTTTTTTCTCTACTCAGAAGCAGCATTCAGGCTCAAGAAATAAAAAGCCCTTCTCTCCCAGCAAAGAGAATGCTCTGTAACACAACACTGGAGTGCAATAAGCCCATATTTGGGTCTGAAAGCAAGGCAAAAGCACTGCCTGCTCTCATCTTGATAGGTTACTGTCAAGCAAAATGGTTTAACACACAGTTGTCTCCACACTTACTTGAAGCATTCCTACAAAGAAATCATGCTGTCTGTGTTCTATACATAAACTGGGATATAACAAATAGAAAGAAAAAATAGGAGACAGGATTTGCATTCCTCCCTTTGATACTGAAATACACTGGAGAAGTGCAGCAGTTTTCCCCTGAACATCCAAGGTGAATCTCCTTAATTTTAGCATCCTCCAACATGAATATTTTTTCAACGTGCATATTTAAACAGGGCCTGACCTATATGAAGCCATATATTATGCACATAATTTCTCTCCTTAGGAAAGGGATTATTTAAGCCTGAAAAAAATATTCCATGATATTTTTATGGAAGAGGTTTACAATAAATAAGGACCAAAGTGGCATAGAACATTACTTCAGGAGAGGAAAAAATATCTCAGGTTCCCTTTGCTAACTGTAAAATGCAACTATGAATGTTCACCTACTTTGCAAAGCATTTTGAGATGTATGGATAACAGTTCTCAGAAACTACCCAAGGCTCATTAAAATATTCTATGTGCAAGTCACTAACATTTTTGGCTTATGTGGATAATAAAGCAAAGGCAAGAACAGATTAGAAAATTTACAGAAAGCAGGAAAAAAGAAAAGGAAGGGAAGGGAAGGGAAGGGAAGGGAAGGGAAGGGAAGGGAAGGGAAGGGAAGGGAAGGGAAGGGAAGGGAAGGGAAGGGAAGGGAAGGGAAGGGAAGGGAAGGGAAGGGAAGGGAAGGGAAGGGAAGGGAAGGGAAGGGAAGGGAAGGGAAGGGAAGGGAAGGGAAGGGAAGGGAAGGGAAGGGAAGGGAAGGGAAGGGAAGGGAAGGGAAGGGAAGGGAAGGGAAGGGAAGGGAAGGGAAGGGAAGGGAAGGGAAGGGAAGGGAAGGGAAGGGAAGGGAAGGGAAGGGAAGGGAAGGGAAGGGAAGGGAAGGGAAGGGAAGGGAAGGGAAGGGAAGGGAAGGGAAGGGAAGGGAAGGGAAGGGAAGGGAAGGGAAGGGAAGGGAAGGGAAGGGAAGGGAAGGGAAGGGAAGGGAAGGGAAGGGAAGGGAAGGGAAGGGAAGGGAAGGGAAGGGAAGGGAAGGGAAGGGAAGGGAAGGGAAGGGAAGGGAAGGGAAGGGAAGGGAAGGGAAGGGAAGGGAAGGGAAGGGAAGGGAAGGGAAGGGAAGGGAAGGGAAGGGAAGGGAAGGGAAGGGAAGGGAAGGGAAGGGAAGGGAAGGGAAGGGAAGGGAAGGGAAGGGAAGGGAAGGGAAGGGAAGGGAAGGGAAGGGAAGGGAAGGGAAGGGAAGGGAAGGGAAGGGAAGGGAAGGGAAGGGAAGGGAAGGGAAGGGAAGGGAAGGGAAGGGAAGGGAAGGGAAGGGAAGGGAAGGGAAGGGAAGGGAAGGGAAGGGAAGGGAAGGGAAGGGAAGGGAAGGGAAGGGAAGGGAAGGGAAGGGAAGGGAAGGGAAGGGAAGGGAAGGGAAGGGAAGGGAAGGGAAGGGAAGGGAAGGGAAGGGAAGGGAAGGGAAGGGAAGGTGCGGGAAGGGAAGAAAGAAAGAAAGAAAGAAAGAAAGAACAATTTTGCACGTATTTAATCTATTGATAATAGTATAACAAAGGGAGGGGAATAAGAGAGGAGAGAGAAGACATTTCCTGGTTCAAAAGCTTAAAAAAGCCAACAAGACTGTTTTACATAAAGCTCAATCTTCACTTACCCACCAAGATCCAGTTCTGACCTTGGCAATTCCCACAGTTCACGCTAAAGATGTAACAAGCATCATTTGAAGAAAATTCCCTATACAGGTCTTACTGTTTATCCAGCTTTTATAATTAGAACAGAGTTCAAAATACAGCTCTAAGCAGGTAAGTAATCATGAGAAACAATTCTCAAATATTTTGCTTGCATTGTTGAGGCCAACCTCAATTTCCAGTCTGTTCCTACATTCCCAGTATTGATTTGGTATCTGACATTGCTTTTTATTGATCCATTTTTGCTTTCAAATTAACTTTTCAGTTGAGAGGAAACTAATGCAATAGTCTGCAATCTGACACTAATGGTAAACATTCTGAAGTTTGGATTCATCAATCTGAAAGTCACTTAGCATTTCCTCCAAACGCCTGACAACTCTGGGCTGTGCAAGCTCTTTCCCTATCAAACAACACACAGAATCTGAAACAGAAAGCAACCTGATTTTAAACTATCTACTGTTAATTTAAGTAATGTTGCAAATGTTGGTAATGGACTCCCAAGACTATACTGTGCTGGCATTCCTTTAAGACACTTAAATTTAAACCACCATGTGGAGAATTTCTGAACAAACTCCTTCCAGCTGTTCTTCAATGAGAGTCAGTGAGCTGATGCTGACACTTGGAAGGTCCCAATCCTTTTGTGCCTGTGATGAGGAGACACAGATCCCTCAGTGGGAGATGTTACTCTGCAGTGAGGAGTAACACCCTCATTCGTTCTCTTACAAAACCTTCAGAAGAGAGAAAAGCAAACAATGCAACCACTTCTGACACACACCAGCCAAGGGAAGTGGAGGCAACTACATGAAGGCAACCATTGTACAACCAAAATCTGGACAGTATGTGGCACAGGCTATTCAGAGAAAGGACTGAAGGTGTCTGGAAAGTTTCATGTACCCTAAGGCAAGACAAATGACAGCAGTTGCTTTCACTGGGACAGTGCCTGCACACCAGAATGTTGGGTAGGCCTGTGAGGGAAGGGCTAGAGAGCTTGAATGGCTTGTTGTATGCTTGTGGAATAGCTTGTGTTAGCAAGATTGAGTTCTCCTGCCTCCTCTGAACTTCTTTGGTTTCTCTCTTCTTTCCTGTTCAGCTGCTGCAATGAATTACATGGTTTGTAAATGACAAAAGAGGCACTACTGCCTAATGGATGGGGCAAAACCCCCAGTCAATAGCAGGCAGAATTATATCCTGCATTTTCTCTTTCTGATGCCTCAAGAAAAACAAGTCACTTTTAAATAAACTGAGTCTCCTCCTGCATAAAAGGCTATTTTATTCCTGCCATCCCTCTAGGCAAGAGGTCAGGATAGTTTTGTGGTTTTATCCTCTTTCTGTCACAGAAATACATCTGCCAAAAGTGAAGGGCTGCCTTTACTCATTATCAGAGATTTCCTCTGGAAACTTGCCCCTGGGAATGAAGTGGAAATCAAAGCATTTCTTGCTTCCCCAGCCAAGCCCGCAGCCTCCCCTGTGCCTCTGAGGCTCTACCAATGGTTGCCTCCTCGCAAGGATTTGGCAGGTGCCTGGTGTGGCTGCACCCCCTGTGAGGCCTCTGCTGCCCTGTCTGGGGCCAGCAGCAGCTGCTGATGTTGCAGAGAGTCCTGGGAGAACTGGGCTGTCTCCTGATAAAACTGGAATTGTCCATAGGTGTCAATAACATCTTGGTCCATTACCAAGAGCTTAAAGGTCTCACTGTGCAGTCATCTGAAGAGCTACCAGATGGAAAAGCCCTCCCTAATAAAACTTTGGACTTGTAGAAATGTCAGTGGAGATGGAAAGTACAGCAGGGTTTATTCTCTTTCCATTTGTGCGTGTGCAAATGCACACATGTCCATTTTTTATGTAACACAGGAACAGATTCTTCCCTTACATAACTCCTGTGCTGCATGAGGATCCAGGTGATTTCTCTGGCTTTTTTTCTCTCAAATCCCTCTGGCTTTATTGCCTTGATTAAAAAAACCCAAGAAAGTGATTTTTTCTTTCCTCATTAGTAGGGGATTTCTCCTTTCAACTATGATAAGCTTTAATAGCATTTACATTTATATAATCTCAAGCTTCTTCTTGTCCTGTTTAAATATACTTAGATAGATTAATACTAGAACACCTTAAAAAACTGCTACTGTACACATGTATTAAAAACATCATTATATGTATTCTTGGAAGAAATCCTAACACACAAACTCAGAGTATTTATTAGTATTTTACTTAAAAAGGGTGGACTTATTCTTACTGTGGGGTTTTTTTGTGTGTCAAGATTATGGTGAAGGAGTAAATAATAAAGTTTGGAAGGGTGGAAAGTGTTAAGAGAAGATTTAGAAACCACAGAATTACATGTTGAGAAAAGACTTCTAAAATCAATGAGTACAACTATTAACCCAGCACCACCAATTTCACCATTAAACCATGGATCATGCAAGGGCTGCTTCAGATGTGCATTTGAACACGATGTCTTTGTACCATTTTTTATTGGTGGTCAGTATGAAAACAGGGTAGGTGTCAGAACATAACAGTCTATGACCATAAGGTAATTTTTATGGAACAGAAACACATAAAGTTATTATCCTGCAGTTGTTCATGGTAGAAAATCTTAAAACAGAAGACCAGCAAGTTTTCCCAGAATTCGGTCCTCTCAGTCATGGAGAAGCACCTAACACTTTGAAGGAGTTGTAATTCAAGATTTGTGAATCTCACACAAGACATACCACATTCAGAAAAGAAATTCATAAACAACTTATGCCACTTCTGATCAAAACAAGTGATTTCATTCAGGTAAGGAATTTTCTCTTCTCTTTACACAGTACTGGTTCAACCACTCAGAAGATACCAGAGCTAGATTCACAGCAGTTTTCTAAACGGTGCCTATCTCAAACATGCATTTCTGATAAATCTCACAGCCAAGGCAAGCCAACAAGCTCATCTGAGGCTGACACTCAAAACTCGAGACAATCAGTACACAACCCAGGGATGGAACAGTCTTAGAAGCACCACCATCTCATGTAAGTACGCAAGCAGGTGATACATATCCATTCTGTCCATCTCAAGTGGTTCTGTAGCAGTTGACAGATTGACTACAAGACAAAAATATCTTTACTTTCAGAGAGGGAGGTTGAAGAATGGGTCAGAATGCTCTGTGCTTTCTGACAGATTAACTATGTACAATTAAAAGGCAACTTCAACATCCTTGTCAGCTCCCCCAGAGATGAGGTGAGCTGGTGAAATGGTGAGAAGCACTAGCAGATCACAGATGCCACACAGTCCATCCTGCTCACCAGCACCAACTGTGGTACTCCCACTCTCACTGCTTAATGCATTTATGACAACGTGTGCTGCTGATTCCAACCAATACAGACCTTGCTGATGGGCAGAGATGGAGATCTGAGCCTCCTATAAAACCACACAGACTTGCAGCTGAAGCTTAATCAAAGTTCCTGGACCCCCTATCAATGATGAATGTTCCTTCCAATTCTCTCCAGTTTCCTGGGAAAGTGAAAAACCCTGACTGACAATCACTAGCGTGTTTTGATTATCTTTGGACAGAATTAAAGCAATGTACTGTAGCTGGCTGTAAAGTCACAAAAGAAAATACAACCAGAACAAGAAGCTTCACTGCATCTCCTAGCAACTCAAATAGGGATGTCAGACCTGAGCTCTGCTCCTTACACAGGCTTCCACAGCATTTGAGATGAAGTTCCCGGCTTTGGCCCTCCTCTTCAACATTCACCACTCACTGTTGTGATGCAATGTGAAAGAATGTTAACACCAGGGGCTGAAGGATGTAGTTTTATTCCTCTGTCTGAAAGGAGTACTACATGGAAAACAGTACTTTCTGGTCTGAGACCATGAAGGGGTCTCTTCTAGGAACAAAGAACTATGTTTAACCTACTCATCTCCCCACCCACATATAATGTCTCATGTCTCTGATACGGCCTTCTTTATCAGAAGTAGCTAGCAACACATCTACTTGAAGGAAAACACCTTCCTTCTCTGTAATTTCCTCAAGGTTCACTATAACCTCTTTATTCAAAGTAAACACTCCATTGCACATGCTTTTTCTTTAATGAGGATAAAACTAAAGAAAAGAACTGATAACTTCTAATCACATTCCTTAATGTTGCACAAAGGATGTTGACATAAACTATGCACTAAGATGTTTTTATGGGGTCCACAGACAACGGCATATATTTTCTTTATCAGCAATAGTTCTTTCTACAGAATAGAGAAAAATGAGATAGGATGAGGGACTGACAGGGAGAGAGTGAAGGGGAAAGGGAAATAGCATTCTGGCTCCAGCCAAGTGACGTGGCTTCCCACACAACTGACCTCTCCTGTGCAACATGTGATCACTGTATTGTTTTCCGTAAGTTCATCATATCCACCAGGACCTGCTCAAACTCCTACTGCTTGTTCTTGTCTATCATGCAATTAGTGCTCACCAAACCCTGACTTCATCTGGGGCTAGAGCCATCTAGCATGTCTGTTTATATTGTTGAACCGCTATTTATCAGCCACTTAAATGACTAATACTATCTTATCCATTCAATCTTATTTCCCTCTAGAATAGGCTAAGAAACAAGGATTAGAAAAGAGGAGAAAGGACACTGATTCCCACCTCGGTGGTAACTATGTCCCATGAGAATTAGTTACACCAACTGCACGGTTTTGCAGGTACAAGCCCACAGAAAAACTTCACAACCACAACAGAATGAGAGGAACAAGGAAGATAAAAAAGGTACAGTTCCTAGGGTGTGTGGAGGAAGATTGCAGGTAAAAGGTTACAGGTAAAAGACAACCTGCAGAATGGCAACTGGCAGGCCCATAGCAAGAGTAAGATTCAGGCACTTAAACCATAGGACAAAATTAAAACATTTCTGGACAGCACTCTGATACTGCAGTGACAACCTAGAACAAGAACTGACAAATGGCTGCATTAACTTCTTATGCCTCTGAAAGATCAATCATCCTTTCTGCTAGCTGAGGATGAAAAAAAGCATACAATTTCTCCATCATAATAAAGAATACATAGATTATTCTGCAGATCCACTCCTGGCATTCTGGACTACAAGGCTCTTGTCTTGGCCAAAAAAGCTGTCTCCTAGAAGGACCATGATGTGGTTTTAAGACATTTATGTTGAAGATACACACCCTTTACCACTCTCACACAGTCCCTTCCTGAGCCACAGGTATTTGTATACAAATTTGGAGTGTTGACAGGTCAATGGCCTTGTTAATGTTATTCATTCTGGGATTTGTTTACCTCTTTATTTCCACTCAAATTTTGTTTGATAAAGTCTTGATCCTCTGACTTGATTTGAAAGAGCAAACAGGGTTTAATTTACAGTGTTCAGAAGTTATTTATAATGGACTAATATATGACTGATACATATCAGCAGTATTTTACACACATGAGCAGCATTTGCCAAACCTTAGTGTATTCTAAGAACTTCAACAGAAAACATTTAGAAGAGCCATAAATGTTTCTTGACCTATGGCATAGACTGACTACTTACCTTTTATCAAACACCTTCTGACTGTGTTAGATTTTTACCAACACATTTCAATACTATAAAGCCCATATAAAGCTTATTAGGCATTTGTGTTTTGGGTAGAGATTGCAACAACAGTGGAACAATGAATACAAATTATCTGCAGGATCAACATTTTTAACTCCCCCTCAGAGAATTTATCAAAACTAACACCTTTAGAAGTACGTAATAATAGAAAATGACAATTTCTGGAATTAGATATCCCAAATCACTTATCATATTAAGTAATTACTATCAACTTCAATTTGAAAAGATCAGGCTGACATAAAGAAGTGAAATTATTGATAAGCTAACAATTTCATTTTCCCTTAGGACTGTAAATCATGAAATACTTAGAATACCGATTAGTTTCATCATGAGGAGTTTTAGTTAAAGCTGTCAGCAATGAATGCAGCACATGAGAAATGGAGAAAGATGGAGAATGACCCTCACCCAACAGAGGTCTTTAGGCCAGCAGGAAAATGCTTTGAGTAGCCAGAATGGGTATCTGCTTTGCAGCTCAGCACCTCATGGAAACCATGTGCTTGGGCTCAAAGGAAATAAATCTTAGCAGAAAGAAATGACTGTGGACTGGGAACTAGAAAAAAAACTTAACCATTTCAGGCATGAAAGCACAGAAACAAATGCTTTTTTACATTTTCAGATTATTGTGTCCAGGTAACAGCAAAACCTGTGGGAGACATCAACACGACTAAATTCTGGGAGATGACGAGGCAATGTCACCTGCTTTATGACAGGATTGTCTGGGGAACTCTGCTCTACAGAGATTACATCTTGAGATTGCTCAGGTGTTTTCCACTTACCTGTCTTCCCTCCATAGCTCCTCGCATTTCCTTGAAAGTTGAGCTAAATTCTCCAATGAAGTCATGCTTTCCGTTGGAATCCCAGTCCCAAACTATGCACTGGGGAGACAAAGGGGAAAAGAACAAACCAGCACTTTTTTTTTCAGACAGTAAAGAGATTTTATTGAAAAACACTGCAGGAGAAATTATGATATACAATGGGTGGAGTGTTTTATCTAAAACAAAATCACAAGGCATATTAAAACCCAGTTCTTGTTCGGATCAAAATAAAATGGCAAGTGGAATCAGCTTGCTGCTGATAGTTCTGTCTTATGCAGCTTGCCTAATGAAGCAAGTCATGTATTTCAGAAGGAAAGGATTTCTTGTCTGCATCATTTTGCTAAGTGTGAAAATACAGGATTATGTGTATTTGCATATTCATGGTCAAACTGTGTCCTGACTTACCTGGTTGATGTGCTTTACAAATACAAATTAATATTCAAAACACTGTTTGCCTTAGGCAAACATTACTTTTCTCATTTTTACAGTCAGTGAAGGTGAGACAATAGTTACAGACATCATTTTTTGAAACAGCTTTGAAATTATACACATCAGTGTTTGCTGCCCATCTCTTGGCTCTTTTCCGGTGTTGCTCAACAGTGACTATTCAAACCAAACCTCACTGGTAGCCTTCCCTAAATTCATGCATAAGGATGAATATCTCAATGAGTTTGAGCTTTGAGAATTTTATTTTAGAGATTTTGCTAAATACAACTGAGCTAGCCAAGACTGAAGCACATAGCAATAACTACATGCTTCGCTAAATTGTAATTTTAAAACAGCTCCAAATACAACAAAGGGGCTCACAGCTTTAAAGAACAAAATCCCAAATTCAGCCTTATGTTCTCTCTAGATAAAGGTCACATACATTGACTGAATCAGGAGACCTTTACTGAAAATGTCCTGCTGAAAAATATCTTTTAGGGTTTTTTTAAAAGCAGAAACGTGCCAAAGTCATCTGTCCTGTCACACACTGTTATCAGATGGTTCTGAGGGTAACAACAGTGGGTTTTGTCTGGCTTCTTTGTCTCAGCGAGGCTCAGTACTTTTGACCCAGCACTGGTGGTCAGACAGCACAAGAAGAACAAGGTTTGCTTCTCAAAGACTTCTCAAGCCGTTTGAAGTGTGCTTGGTCCAAAGGGGCACTGAGTTCACTGAGAAGGAAACTGAAATCATTGGATGTCTACTGGACTTTGAGTGTTAAATATTTCCAAGAAAGCACTTTATTAAAACAGACTTCCCTGTCCACCAGCTATACTTTCTACTCAGCCCAAATAATCCAGTCAAAGCTGGTAAGTTGACATACCCTTTTGAGGGTGTGGGAAAGACTCTAGAAAGCTTGGGATTTGGACCATCCTTTCACCTCCTATTTTACTTGCTTTTTTTTTAATTTTTTTTTTTTTTTTTAATGCAGGAATCCCAGACTAGAGGAAGATCTCCAAATCAAAATGTGAAAATATTTTGCTCTGAGACTTGGAGATACTTTTTTAGCAGCTTTGACATTGAGGTGGTGGGCAGAGGGAAAAAAGGGGCAGTTTCTGCATGCGTTTGTTTACCGGCTAAATTTCAAACAGGAGTAATCAAATCAAAGTGGGTGTCTGATTCTGATAGTGGTAATATTGTCTAGAAAAAAAACTAGACACAGTATTTCCAACACTAGCAGTCCCGGAGTATTCTTTCAGATGAAATCTTGCCTAAAAATTACTGTCTGTTTCTTATCAATAGAAATTTTTATATGAGCAACAAGAGTAACAAGAAAAAAAATCCAAGAAAAACTAATTTAATTTACAAAAAAATTCCTGAAACAAATTTTGTTTTATTCATCTTGAAAATGTAATTTTATTTTTTCTGTGAAATTCCTTGCTAATATAAAATGCTTATTTTTTATTGAAATTACTTTATAAATATTTAATAAAAAATTGATCTCACGGGTGAAGCATTAAAATTATTTTTTTCTGTAATGGTTGCAAAAATCTATTTAAGATCTTAGAAACAATACTAAATAAAAATATTTGTCAAAATGCCATAGCGAAATTGTTATAGATGTGCCAAAAGTGTAGTTTTAGTAATCCTGAAAACTTTGAAAACAAAGTTTTTGAAAAAGTTACTATTTCACAAAGAGAAAGAATAAAAAAAGAACCCTTATTATGAAATAATCTAACCAGATTTCCTTTTCAGGTTAAGTCTCTAAACTAAACTGGAGCATAAAAACAAGAACAGACCCAAGGTTATCAGAGTCCTCCAGGAAAAGACACTTTGACATACTTCTATTAGGGTGCCAACTTGGAAAGAGGATAAAGCTCTGAGTGCTTATTTGTGGTTAGAACTTTGAGTAGAGACGAGCAAAGCTAAATTACATATAAAATGTCCACTCAACAGGGATCCAACTGCTTTTTCTTTCAAGCTGGAGGGTTTCTAACTTTGGCTTTCAGAAAGCCAGATGGTACTTTAATCTTCATATTGGCTTCATGGAAAAGGCAAACAATTACAGTATTATCTCAGTGCCATTTGTTCAATTACAGCTAAGGGAGAAAGGGGATTCCCGCACACACATCCATTATGACTTCTTTTTTTCCCCCTGAGTTTCACATCTGGCCATATAAATTAATTGTTACTGTCTAAAAAACATGTTGTACACAGTAATGATCCTGCATTTCAAATGTGTGTCAAAAGCATTTCTGAAACATAGAAATAATGTGGTCCAGACATTTTTATAAAAATCCACTCAGACAGATCAAATAAGCAGGGAAGGATCTTTGCAAATAATCCCTATTCCATAATCAGGTAAAGACTACAGATGATAACCAAAATATTTTTTCACTGTGAAATACTTTAAAGGGTTTTTTGGTCTCTCTTCAAATCAAATCCTCCACAATGTAAATCATATTTTATCTTTAGGCAAACCTAAATATGTTCTTTGGGTCTCTACTCTTAGAGGTTGCTTAAGCAGATGTTTAACAGTATACCTACACTCTATTAAAAATATCATTAATTTAAGGAAGCTTTCCATATACTTAATTTGAATGCTGGTGAAAGAATTCAGTCTCCTACCTACTGCTTACAAGCTCAAATACAGGGAATAAGAACCTCTGCAAATGCTGCAAAGTGATGGAATAGCACAGACTGGAATGATGGAGAAATCTTTCACCCCTGCATGATCCTTTCTTCCTCCTCAAAATACCCGCTGCATGCAGGGAGAGGGAACACTGTTCTATCCTTATTAGAGCTAACCAGTAGACTAAGTTAAAATGACATCAGAGGATCACTTCTGGTCATCCACATCTTCATTCCTTCAGCTTTTCTTGTAAATAGTGCAAAATGAAAGATTTATTTTCAGGCTGAAATTGAACCTTTTACTGGAGAAAGGTCCATTTTAAAAAGAAAAGGATATCTCAGATGGATTCTGATGGAAATTTTCCCTGGTTTAATTTCAATTTTTTCACCAAGATTAGATTTTGCCAATACTCTTGCTACAAAGGGCATTCAAGAAAGATTGCATTGGCATTGGAGCTACAACAGCACAGGCTTCTCTGGCTGATTTTCCTAATGCTTCCCAGAAGATGACAACTAGATTAATCTTGCTACCTCTGCATGAGCAAGAACTCACACGATTTCTGATTTTATTGAGACTTTTTCCAAGTCTCAATACTAGAGCCAACAAAATTACAGTACAATTGTCCTAAAATCATTCTTCCCACAGTCATCATCCTGGCCAGCTTTAACTAGAAGAACTAAGTACGAGAAAGGGCTGCCTACAGTAAGCACGTGTTTGTTTATGGGTGTCTGCAGATACTGAGGTTATTTTCCCTATACAGCTTCTGAGAAAGGCTTATAGTGATTTCTCCCCATTAGATTTTCACAATGAGAGAATGATTATATACAGCACGTATGGGTAATGGAGAAATGTGGAACTTAACCATGCAATTTATGAACATGCTCTGAAGGTTAGTTTCTAAAAGACCTGGCAGTGAGCCTCCTGACTAAACCCTATCAGGAGGCAGCTGACAGTCAGACTGTGGAAATGTACTTTTTGAAAATAATCCATTCAAGTTACCCTCATCTAGCCAGACACTGCAGACTATAGCATGCAGAAAGCCAGTAAAAAACCTGAAAATTCTCATTCTTGCCAGCCTGAATTTCTCCAGCTCTGTTCAAAGGCCAGTCATGAAATGTTAGCGTGGCTTGTGCTGGTACTACTTTGCCACTTAGTTGGAGAGGAAGAGTGTTAGACAGCCCTCCTGACAACCTAAGAGCTTACCTAACTTAAAACACTTGAATAACTTGTGACCAAAAGATACTGGCTTGGGTGGGAGAGAAAACCAAATCCTTGTCCCACTCTCCAGCTGCTCCATGCCAGCAGAAGTGCCAGACAGACAGAAAGGCAGCAGCCTCAAGCAGTCAGTGAAGTCCCTGGAATAGGAGGCTCCCTACCCTGGTCTGGCTCTGGTCCAGGTGAGATTCTAGTTCATATGGTGCATCAAAAAGTAGATTTTTCTCTGTGTTTTTACTTCAGTATGTGTCCCCTGACACTAAATAAGGGGTGAAAGGGATACTTTTCAAGGAAGAGAACTCTCTTTGTCCATTAATAGCCTGCTGTCCCTAGCTACGTGGTAGGGTAACAGCACTGAACAAAGTGGCTAAAATTCTGAACAGAAACTATCTGGAATGGCTCTTCCTTGCATTTTTGTGCAACAAGATATGTTGTGGCTGGGCAAGAAGGAGAATGCTCATTGTTGGATTTGAATGAAATAAATTACAGTCCAGTCAGCCATAGATTTTTTACCAATTAACTCTAAACTAAAATAACACCACAGTGATTTTTATAGGCAGTTTATATGACACTATGTCTCAAAGAAATGGGATCTAAGACAACATCAGTGACCTGCTCTACTTCTTGAAGCCCTCTGAACTGCAGGTGGTATGAGGTGGCAGAAGGCTACAAATAAATGCTTCTTTGGTTCATCCTCTAGGATCCGTGAAAACTTAAAAAAAAAACAACCCTAAACAAACAAAAACCCCAACACATACACAAAAACCGAAACCACCCCCTCAAGCCCTCT